CATATTGACATGTTTGATGAATCCAAAAGTCCAGTTGTTTGGGGGCAGCCTTTTTAAAGAGACAAATAGGATCTGTGTTTCACCAGTTCCAGCAACATCAGCATTATGTCTTTTCTTCTGATTTAAAGAGAGTAAATTGATTTAAAAAAAGTCAGGATTAGATTTTTTGGGTAGTCTTCCATTTATGAATGAAGAGCCACACATGAGCCCAAAATTTCTATTGCTAAATGAGACATTTGTTAAATTAATTTTGCCCCATTTTACTACTTTTCTTGGCACATTTGTTAAGTGAAACGCAGTTGTTAAATTAACGACAAGGTTGTTAAAGAAATATAGCTTCTCCCATTGATTTTATTTGCCATGATGTACAAAAGATGATCACATGACCCCAGGACACTGCAACTATTGCGACAGTTATCAAGAATCTGCATTTCAATCACGTGACTGAATTTTGATCACGAGGATGCTACAATGGTTGGAAGTGAAAAAAAAATTATAGGTCATTTTTTTCAGTGCTGTTGTAACTTAAAACGGTCACTAAATGAACTGTTGTAAGTCGAGGACTACCTGTATGCTGGTTGTAGCTATAATCTGTCAGTCACTCAGAAGTGATAGGAGATAAGTATTCCATCATTGGCTTTCAGTACTCTTAAATTAGGAGAAAAGAGCCAGTTTGGTCTAGTGGTTAAGGTACCAACTGCAAGACCATGAGTTCTAATTCTGCCTTAGGCATGAAAACCGGTTGGGTAACTTTGGGCCAGTCACTCTCTCTCAGCCCTGGGAAAGAGACAATGGCCAATCACTTCCAAAACTGCATGAGCTTTCTGGTAATTGTCAAGAGCAGGAGCTACCTAGACTGAATTTAACTCCTTCAAAAATTAAAAACTATCCTAATATGAAGGCTCACAAATACAATCAGTACATGAAGTGCCTTAGGCATTGTATAATGTGTCTTTTAATTTGAGTTGAAGTATGTAAAAAAAAACCACTGAAGTGATATTTGACCTCATTGATGGTGTGGACTTTTTGGAAAAAAGAAATTTGTTTTGACAGGAAAAAAAATTAGCAAGATGTGAATTTCCCAAGTGCTAGGATATTTGTAATTGTAATGACTTTGTTAAATGATTTTAATTTTGAAACAACCACCTCTTACTTTCCTATGATAGTTTCAGTTGTTATGAAAACGACATAGTGGAGTGCTCATAACTCTGTAACATGTGCAATTTCCACAGCCTTTCTTAATTTCATGTGGTCTTAAAATCCTGGTCTTTGCAAGATTGTATAATTAACTCAGCTGGCCCAGGAGGAGGTTTCTCTAAATTTCCATACTGACTTTCCAGCATCTATATTCATAGAAAATTCAGTGTGTTGGCTTTTCTAAGCATTGAATGCCAAACTGAAAGCCCTTCATTAAAACTTTAGTTGATCAAAGTAAATGGAACAAAGAAATGGCTATTTCTGTAATGATAGACAATACAGAAGTGGAAGTCCTGGCTTACAGCTTGACTATTCTGAGTTGATGATTCTTAGTCACACATCATATGAAGTGGTAGCAAACCCCTTAAGAGTTTTAATGACTTGTGTAAAATTCTGTCTTTTTCTGCAATAAAATAGAATAGAATAACAGAGTTAGAAGGAACCTTGGGGGTCTTCTAGTCCAACCCCTGCGTTGGCAGGAAACCCTATACTACTTCAGACAAATGGTTATCCAACATCTTTTTAAAAACTTCCAGTGTTGGAGCATTCACAACTTCTGGAGGCAAGTAGTTCCACTGATTAATTGTTCTGTCAGGAAATTTCTCCTTAGTTTTAAGTTGCTTCTGTCCTTGATTAGTCTCCACCCATTGCTTCTTGTCCTGCACTCAGTTCTTTGGAGAATAGCTTAACTCCCTCTTCTTTGTGGCAGCTCCTGAGATATTGGAACACTGCTATCATGTCTCCCCTAGTCCTTCTTTTCATTACGTACCCAGTTCCTGCAACCGTTCTTCATATGTTTTAGCCTCCAATCCCCTAATCATCTTTGTTGCTCTTCTCTGCACTCTTTTTAGAGTCTCAACATCTTTTTTACATCGTGGCAACCAAAACTGAATGCAGTACTTCACGTGTGGCCTTACCAAGGCATTATAAAGTGGTATTAACACTTGATGTGATCTTGATTCTATCTCTCTGTTTATACAGCCTAGAACTGTGTTGGCTTTTTTGGAATCTGCTGCACACGGTTGGCTAATATTTAAATGGTTGTCCACTAGGACTCCGAGATCCCTCTCACCATTCCTACTATTGAGCAAGGTACCACATATACACATTTATAAGAAAAGATTGGGAATAATATCATCATGCCATTTATTGTTTCCTACCTGCTTCTACCTCATTTTGAGGGACCAAGGCAGTTCATTGCAAGTGAACTATGGAAAGCTTATTTCCACACATTTTTATATTGCATTGTCCCAGATCAAGGGGGAAAAAAGATTAAGGAGTAAAGTAGTTTGGGGGAAAAAGATGTCTAAAAAAGGAGGACACTTGAAGCCAGAAGGTAGATTTGAGGCGTGAAGGTACTTGAAGAGAGGACAAAATGTGTTTAGTCAAGCAACCTTTAGTCTCCAACCTTCTTTAATCTCATGCTTGGCTGCACTTGAGATGTCTTTTTGCGTTTTTTCTCCCCAATGCTAGATTGTAAGTATCCACTGCTGTCTTAAAACTGCCCTATAATATCTTGTAAGTCATTTTCTGTCCAGCCACTATATAAGGGTTGCTGTATGCATCCCCTGGTTGACAATCCTTTTTGAGGGTTTTTTTCCCTAGGTAGACTGTAAAATCAAAAAGGCAATCATGTCCTTAAATGAAATTCGGTGTACCTCTGCTGACAGCTATTTTTCTCTGTCTTTGCATGTAAACAATTGACAAAAATCTTTAAAAGATGGAAAAAATGCCTCTTAGAACTTCTTTTCGAGAGTGTCTAAAAGCAGAAGAAAACATAGAGAAGATGGGTTTTTTTTCTGCCATCATTGCAAGTAATAATAAAGCACAGAGAGAAGAAGAGTGCTTCAGTAGTCTTTCTTTCCTGAAATTGCCCCAAATAATACTAACCATTATCGGGATACATATCTGCAGCCATTAGAGCTGCTTAAAGCTAAATCTCTGTGCCAAATGATATCCATTGCACAGATATGGACAGACAGGGATCAAAAGGCCCTGTATGTTGTTCTGGCTAATGTTGTGAAAGCATTCTTTCAGCTTTCATGTTGTGTTCTAATCTGCGTGGAAACAGGAGTGGTTCCACTGGAAGTAAGGATCTAAGTTTCCGATTTATTTTATTGGTTTATACTTGTATTTTCTGTGGTCCCATTGGTCCCACTAATTCTTCTTGCTTAAAGAAGATGGAAAGTAAAAAAACCCAACATATGTGACTTATACACTGCTCAAAAAAATAAAGGGAACACAAAAATAAGACATCCGAGATCTGAATGAATGAAATATTCTTATTAAATACTTTGTTCATTACATAGTTGAATGTGTTGACAACAAAATCACACAAAAATTATCAATGGAAATCAAATTTAGCAACCCATGGAGGTCTGGATTTGGAGTTACACTCAAAATTAAAGTGGAAAAAAACACTACAGGCTGATCCAACTTTGATGTAATGTCCTTAAAACATGTCAAAATGAGGCTCAGCAGTGTGTGTGGCCTCCACGTGCCTGAATGACCTCCCTACAACACCTGGGCATGCTCCTGATGAGGTGGCAGATGGTCTCCTGAGGGATCTCCTCCCACACCTGGACTAAAGCATCCCCCAACTCCTGGACAGTCTGTGGTGCAACGTGGCGTTGGTGGATGGAGCGAGACATGATGTCCCAGATGTTGGATTCAGGTCTGGGGAATGGGCCATCAATGCCTTTGTGTTGCAGGAACTGCTGACACACTCCAGCCACATGAGGTCTAGCATTGTCTTGCATTAGGAGGCACCCAGGGCCAACCGCACCAGCATATGGTCTCACAAGGGGTCTGAGGATCTCATCTCAGTACCTAATGGCAGTCAGACTACCTCGGTACCTAATGGCAGTCAGACTACCCGAGCACATGGAGGGCTGTGTGGTCCCCTAAAGAAATGCCACCCTACACCATTACTGACCCACTGCCAAACCAGTCATGCTGGAGGATGTTGCAGGCAGCAGAACATTCTCCACGGTGTCTCCAGACCCTGTCACGTCTGTCACATCTGCTCAGTGTGAATCTGCTTTCATCTGTGAAGAGCACAAGGCGCCAATGGCGAATTTGCCAATCTTGGTGTTCCTGGCAAATGCCAAACGTCCTGCAAGTGTTGGGCTGTAAGCACAACCCTCACCTGTGGACCTCGGGCTCTTATACCACCCTCATGGAGTCTGTTTCTGACTGTTTGAGCAGTCACATGCACATTTGTGACCCACTGGAGGTCATTTTGCAGGGCTCTGGCAGTGCTCCTCCTGTCCGTCCTTGCATAAAGGCAGAGGTAGCGGTCCTGATGCTGGGTTGTTGCCCTCCTACGGCCTCCTCCATGTCTCCTGATGTACTGCCCTGTCTCCTGGAAGCACCTCTGTTAAGTTTGGGTAATGAGAGGCTGAACCAGAGCATGAGTGCAACAAATACTTTATTATTACAATAAAGGACTGACCGTGCTTGCCAAGCCTGGAACTGGCTCGCAGCGATCAGCAACTGGTTGGACCCCGCAGCCTGCTTTTATAGCTGGCTGCTGGGGAGAACCAACCAATGAGCGAGGGGGAAAACCGCCCCCGCAACGCGAACGGACCTGAGTGGGAACTCCTAGAGTTCCAGGGACATAACACCCCTTCCCCCCAGATGCGAACACGCATAGTCTTTGAGGTAGGCAGGAGGTTTATGCTGGCGCCCAGAACGGCGCAGCTCTGGTGGGTTGTCTGTCAGTTCAGAGTCTGTAGGGGAAGGCAGGATCGGTAGGGAGTCACTAACGCGCCCCTCGGTTCGGGTTGGCTCGGGACTCGTAGGGCTGGTCCCTGGGGACGTGCTCCCGTTGATTGGTTCGGACTGGTCAGCCATCTGGACGTCGCTGTCCGTGTTCAGATTCCCTGGATTGGCTGCTGGTGTAAGCAGGTCACCGGGATTGGTACTGATGAGGGGTTGATGCTGTGGCCTCGCCCCGGTTTGTAATTCTGAGTCACTGCTGACGAGGGTGCTGTGACGCCGTCGCAGCTGGTCCAGGTGCCTTCTCCATATTCGGCCGTCCTCCAGTCTGACCCGATATGACCTGGGTCCGGTGATGGCCACGATCTCGCCCGGGATCCACAGAGGGTCTCCAGCGAAGTTCCTCGCGAATACGGGTTCCTGTAAGACAAAATGCCTAACCCCCGATGTGGAAGCGAGGGGAGAGTCAGGGCAGTAATGTGGGTGAAGCCTGTCCAATACAGTCCTCAGGCGTCTGCCCATCAGGAGCTCAGCTGGGGACTTATTAGTGACTGAGCACGGAGTTGAGTGCTGGCTCATCAGGAAACGCGAGAGTTTGTGGTGCCAGTCATCCTTGCTGAACCTAGCTAGGGCTTCTTTAGTGGTCCTAACGGCTCTTTCAGCCAATCCGTTACTGGCAGGATGAAATAGGGCCGTGAAGATGTGGCGGATGCCCAGGTTGGCAGAGAAATGGCTGAACTCGGCTGATGCGAACTGTGGGCCATTGTCGGAAACAATGGAGTCAGGCAGCCCGTGTGTTACAAACAGGCGAGTTAATACCTTGGTAATCGCTAGTGTGGTGGTCGTGGATAGTTGTGGTACGTCAATCCATTTAGAGTAGGAGTCCACGACCACTAGGAACATTTTTCCGTGCAATGGGCCGGCTAGGTCGATGTGAATTCTGGACCACGGAGCGCTGGCGCTTTCCCACTTAGTAGGGGTGGCAATTGGAGGAGCTGGATGGGATTCCTGGCAGGGATTGCAGGAGCTTACCCATCTGATGATGTCCTCGTCGAGGCCCGGCCACCATACGTAGCTGCGTGCTAATGCCTTCATTCTGACGATGCCAGGGTGCCCCTCGTGCAACGCCTCCAGAACTCGGGTACGCAGTGAGGTCGGGATGACCACTCGAGTGCCCCACAGCAGACAGCCCTGCAAACTGGATAATTCCTGCAGGCGGGTCTTGAAAGGTGTAAATTTGTTTTCAACATCACCGCCCGGCCACCCCCTCCTCACCCAGTCCAGTACCTGGGCGATTGTTGTGTCAGTCTTGGATTTGGCCGCAATGTCAAGGGCAGTGATGGGGAGGTCCAATTGGGTGACCTCAAAGATAGCGTGGACCGGAGCAGGGTCTTCAGCTGGAGCCGGCAAGGGGCAGCGGCTGAGGGCGTCTGCGTGGGACAATGTTTTACCTGGGCGGTGTATGAGTCTATACGAGTATGCCGCTATGAAAAGGGTCCATCTCGTCATTCTAGGAGAGAGGACTTGAGGGGTCTATTTGTCCCCAGCTAGTAGACCCAGGAGAGGCTTATGATCCGTGACCAGCTCGAAAAAGTGGCCAAAGAGGAATTCGTGAAATTTCTTCACTGCTGCGACAGCTGCTAGAGCTTCCTTATCGATCTGGCTATAATTGCGCTCTGTTGCAGAGAGCGTCCTGGAGAAAAAAGCGATGGGAGCCTTGGAGCCATTGGGGAGCCTGTGGCTTAATACTGCCCCAATACCGAAAGGGGATGCGTCTGCTGCTAGCACTAATGGAAGGTTGGGGTCGAACTGAATAAGGACCGCCTCTGACGTGAGTAGTGATTTGACGGCGCGGAAGGCGGAGTCTTCTTTGTGACCCCAGTGCCAAGGCGATTTTTTATCCAACAGTCTGTGCAGGGGTTCTGCCACTGATGCTTTATGGGGCAGGAAGGACGCGTAAAAGTTCAATAGCCCCAAGAAGGCCTGTAGTTCAGTTTTGGAGGTTGGAGTGGGTGCCTCGTGAATTGCCTTAACCTTGGACTCCAGGGGGTGAATGCCTGAGGCGTCAATTTTATAACCCAGAAAGTCCACCTGTCTAGTGGCAATGGCACATTTTTCTTTTTTTAATTTGAGGCCATGCTGTCTGAACCTCTCTAACACTGCTCGAACTCTCTGGAAGAGTTGGGGTCTGTCCCTGGCCGAGACTAAGATGTCGTCGAAGTAGGGTACTACACCAGGGAGGCCCTGCAAAATCCGCTCCATGAGGGATTGAAAAATACCTGGGGCAACACTTACGCCAAATTGGAGACGCTTGCACCGGAAGGCACCCCTGTGAGTGACAATTGTCTGGAGTTCCGCTGTTTGGTTATCAACAGGGAACTGCTGATACGCTTGAGACATGTCTAATTTAGCAAAAATGCTGCCTGGTTCGAATGTGTGTAATAAATGCTGAATGACAGGCACAGGATAAGCACTAACTTGTAGAAACTTATTGATTGTCGTCTTGTAGTCCGAGCAAATTCTCAGGCTACCGTCTTTTTTGAGGGGTGTGACAATGGGCGTCTCCCATTTGGCGAAATCTGTTGGCTCAATGACCCCTTGTTTTAACAGTTTATCCAATTCCGCATCTAGTTTTGGCCGAATAGCGAATGGGACCCTACGCGGTTTTAGCCTGATTGGGACCGCCTGGGGGTCAACTGAGAATGAGATGGGGGTACCGTTATAACACCCCAGCTCTTCGCTGAACACATCTGCGTAATCAGTGAATAAGGAGTCAGTGTCTGAGGTTGAGACAGCATGGACTCCTGTTAGCCCTAGGCCGAGATGGGGAAACCAATCGAGCCCCAATAAGGTGGGGAGATTGCCGTTAACTACCACTAGAGGTAGGTGACCTTTAAAAGCTTTAAAACTGACAAGGAACTTGCCTCTGCCGATTACAGGAATGGTCTTCCCCTGGTAGTCCTTCAGGCTGAACTGGCATCTCTGGAGCCGGCTAGTGGATAGGCTAGGTTGGAGCCTCTTGAGGGTGTTCCACGAGATAATTGAGAGCGCTGACCCTGTGTCAACCTCCATACGGCACGGTTTACCTTCTAAGGAAACGGATAAAGAAATTTTACTAACAGTGTGGCAAGTGTGCTTGGCATGGTGGTGCGTGCGACAGTTCAATACTTGCCTCTGTGGTCCCGAGTGCAAGGGGGGGTGCCTTTGTGCTGAGCTTTGAGGGGCTTGGCAGACTCTCGCGATGTGCCCCTTTTTGTGACAGATGTTGCAGGTGGCTCCTTTGAATTTGCAGGCGGCCCTCGGATGAGATCCACCACAGGATAGGCACAGGGTGATGTGCTTGGGTGGACTGATGCTTTCTTGCTTGGCTCCTACCTGCGGTTGCCTGGCGTTGGTGAGGCGGTGGATGTCGGTTTCATCACTAGAGGCTTCCTCTAATACCACCTCCTCGGAGTGGACTGGAACTGTCATTAGCTTGGAAGTTGGACCATGGATTTCGGTGGCTGAGTGTGCTGCCAGTTCTGCTGCCAGGGCCTCCTCGATGGCTTGTGCGAGGTTGAGGTCCTTCTTAGCGAGTAGGCGCCTTTGGAGGTGGAGATCCTTGACTCCGCAGACTAGCTGATCGAGGAGCATGTCCTCCAGGTAGGTTCCAAACCCACAATGGAGTGCTGCGGTCCTGAGGGCGGCCATGTACTGGTTGATGGTCTCTTTGTCTGATTGCTTCCTCATACGGAAGGTGAATCGCCTGGCAATCTGTGAAGGTCTGGGAGAATAGTGGTTAGTAAGGATTTCTAACAGTTCAGACCATGGAACGTTTTTTAACTCACGTGGAGCCACGAGTGCTGTGGCAGTGTCAAAGACGATGGCTCCACAGTAGATCAGGAAATATGATTTTTTCCGGTGCTCCCCTGCATCTGCCAGCCCAATTGCATCGATGTAATGGTTAAAGCGGTTCTTGTATGACTCCCACTTCTCCTCATCCAGTTTGAACGCTGGGAAGACTGGATTGGAATTCATAGTGAGGAAATCGGTTGTACAATCTGTGGAAAAAAATCTCTCTGGGGCAGCAGCAGAAGGTTTCTAGTGCCTGTGGCAGGCAAGTGATTTCAGCTCTGGAGAGGCTTTTTCACAATCCTCTCTCTCTCTCTGGGCTAAACACGAGGTTAGGCTGCCGGCCGTTGGCAGCGTTTTGAAATTCGCGCCTGCGTGGGCGTCAGTGACTTGACTTACAGCACCGCGCTGTACTTTTTAGGTTTGAAATTCAAATGACAGCCGTTTGAATTTCGCGCCTAAAGAAACGAGCGGCTGCGGCTCGCAGCGCTTCACTTTTCCTGTAGCTAGGCTAACAAGCGGCTACAGACGCTTCTCACTTTCGTTGCTGGCTGACCGCTTTCTCTGGCTGCGGATCAGCGTTCGCTTCTCGTTGCTTGCTGACCGCTTTCTCTGGCGGCGGATCAGCGTTCGCTCTCGTTGCTTGCTGACTGCTCTCTCTGGCTGCGGATCAGCGTTGCTCTTATCGCCGGCCGATCGTTCTCTCTGGCTGCGGATCGGCGGCTAGTGATTCAGCGGTTGCATTGTGCTTCTGGTAGCCATCCCACCTTCGTCGCCAGTGTTAAGTTTGGGTAATGAGAGGCTGAACCAGAGCATGAGTGCAACAAATACTTTATTATAACAATAAAGGACTGACCGTGCTTGCCAAGCCTGGAACTGGCTCGCAGCGATCAGCAACTGGTTGGACCCCGCAGCCTGCTTTTATAGCTGGCTGCTGGGGAGAACCAACCAATGAGCGAGGGGGAAAACCGCCCCCGCAACGCGAACGGACCTGAGTGGGAACTCCTAGAGTTCCAGGGACATAACAGCCTCCATCCTCTGGACACTACGCTGACAGACACAGCAAACCTTCTTGCCACAGCTCACATTGATGTGCCATCCTGGATGAGCTGGACTACCTGAGCCACTTGTGTGGGTTGTAGACTCCATCTCATGCTACCACTAGAGTGAAAGCACTGCCAGCATTCAAAAGTGACCAAACCATCAGCCAGGTAGCATAGGAACTGAGAAGTGGTTTGTGGTCACCACCTGGAGAAC